GTCCTTTTACTGAATGAGCACTGTGCTATATCCGATAGCAATTTTGACCTTATAATGTTTTTTTTTTAAATAAAAAATTGCTTTTATTCTAGCTGAAATAAAACAAATGGGACTTTCTCCGGAAGAAAACATATCAGACATACTGTGAAAATTTTCTGTTAAACTCTGTTAAACATCATTTGCAAAATATTTTAAAAAGAAAAACAAATTAATAGGAGGGCTAATAATTCTAATAATAAAAACTGTGTATACACACACACACACACACACACACACACACACACACACACACACACACACACACACACACACACACACAGATATACTTGGCTTAATTTAACACATAATTTAAAATCTGTGGCTAACATAACTATTTTAAATTTGGTATTAGTATTTCATGATTTAATATACCGTGATGTATATATTGTTATTGGAATATGATAATTTTGTCATACCAGCCCTATTTACATTCTTAGTGTGAACCAGCCAAGAACTATTCATTCTTAGGATTTGAAGATGAACATTAGTTCATCAAAACAGGAAATCAACCAAGCCCCAGCCCTATTACACAAACACACACACACACACACACACACACACACACACACACACACACACACACACACACACACACACACACACACACACACACACACACACACACACACATAAGTAAAATACACCCAGGATCTGGTCATGTCATGCGCCGCCTCCAATTAGCCACCAATGGCACGGACCGAGCTGAACAACATCTCCCAGAAAAGGACAACAGTCTCCACACTGCATCACTTAGAGTCTTAATGCCTCACTTTTGAGTGCGGCCCAATTGCATTAGCTTAGAGAGAGGCCGTCCTAATCTGATATCAGCTGCAGCCTCTCCATTAACACGCTTGTGATGACTCTATCTTACACAGTCAGGGCCACCCATTTCTGCCTGCCACGCCAATAACTCCGACCGCAGCGGATTCAAATGCATCTGATTTGATTATCAGATGACGCGCTGCCGCACAGAGTGCTGTAGCGGATCAGCCGATCCACGAGGAGAAGGAGGCATGACAAAGCACAGCCTAGATTGTGTTTCAGTAACAGGCTGTAAGACAATACAGTAGCCGGGCTGAAGCCATGTTGATGTTGTGCTACAAAGACATTGGCTGGAGGAGAGAGGAAAAGAGGCAGTCCCCGCTCACATCCATCCACCTCCCGCTGTGTTTTATCAGGCAAGGCTCCAGTGACATCTGTACCAGAACACAAAACTCAAATACTTGGCAAGGCATGCAAGACAAAGCCATCTCCGGCACATTCCCATTTATAGTCTGAGCGGATGCTCAACGCAGATGCACAGCAAGTAATATTGCAGGATGAACAAACAGCGGCTTGCTTCAAAACTGACCCGGGTAAACGGGCAAAGGTATGAAACGACAAAGGCTGTGCTGCAAATTTAACCACATTAGGTAGGTATGTCCTACATATCGCAGAGAAACAGAGAGGCTTTTCATGGAGGCCCACTGGCCATATGTGACCCCGTCGCCCATCAAACGCATGTGCCTCTATTGTTCCTCTCAGACGCTTGCTGTGAGGTGTTAGGTTTGTCTGTTTTTTAACCCGTGATATTTTGCTAGGAATTATGTGTCATTTGAATGTAAAGGGCACAGCACATGTGTAAACATTTAGACTTAAGCGGTAAATCTGCCACCCCAACGTAATCCAATTCACAGCAGTGCTGCATGTGAGTTGATTTTGCTGGTCGCTTTTTGAAATGCAATTATCTCGTCACCTGACATCTCCCTTAAAACTTGCTGTAAGTGACCCATTGCAATTGAATGCCCAGTAATAATCTTAAAAAGAGGGATTTAGAAGAACCAATGACATGGAAAAGAACCAATAGACTGATATTTCGTTTATACTGAAGTCGGTGTTAGAATTCTACAGTAGCAATAGAAAGTTTTTAAAAGAAACATTAGGTAAAAAGTTCTTAAAATAACCATTGTTAATAAACATTTTAATATTCTATAACCTATTACTTTCCCATATTTAAAAAATGCTTAATGGAAACATTAATACCAATGAAAGACCTCAGTTCTAAGTCTTTGCAAAAAAACATTTCATTCAAACTGCAGTTTGGCGAGATGGGACTGCTAAAGGAATGTTAAGCATTCAATGTAAAGATATGAAAATAAGATAAAAAAGTAAAAATATAATAAATACAAAGACAAATATAAAAAATATTAAAAATCTAATACACAAATAATAATAATAATAATAATAATAATAATAATAATAATAATAATAATAATAATACACAGATTAACAATTCAAATTATTATATAGTCAATAAATGAAAAGAAATGCTAATTGGATTAATAAAACCACTTTGATTAAATCTAGTACTACTACAATGGTCAGAAACCTTTCTTGGACAATTTTTTTCCAAACATTATTATAATACTATTTTTGACAGTCCTAATTGGGTCTTTGTGCAAAAAACACATATGTATTTTATATGTATAGTTATTATCATATCTGGGGATCTGTAAAATCTAAAAAAAAAATTGTAAACCCCTGTCTTGGGGACCCCAGTTGGGGGCAGCAGATCCTATGCTAGCCCTAGCAGACAAATGGGGGGTGGGAGGGACGGGAATCACACTTTGTGTTAGAATGTCTCAGTGTCCTGACAAATGTTAAGCCTAAAATCTGAATTGTCTCACATTCCGGGTCTACAGCTAATGTGGAAAGAAAAAAAAAAAAAGCACATAACTGAAATCTACGGAACTAATCATTTACTCAATTTTAATGGAAAATATCCATATTTTAAAAGATCTATAAACCTTAATAAATTAATCTCTAATTAAAAAAAATGCAATTCACCTTTACTTTTTAAAAAAAAATAGCTTAATAGATATAGAAATCAAAATTCAAACCAAAGTCATTATAGATGAAAAACAAAAACAAAAAACAAACAAAAAAAAGGGATGGAAAAAGCAGTGTTTGTTTCACTGGCTCAGTTCAGTTCTGCAATCCTGCTGTTGGGGTGATCCGTCTCCTTTTCTAGCACAGTGCACACCCTTGTTGCTATTAAGTCGTTGGAAATATTTTCTCAGGGTGGCCAGCCATTCTCAGCTGAAGAGGGGCCCAAAGAGTGTGTGCGGAGTGAAATTTCAAGATGTGGAATTTGGCCAGGGCAGAGAGGTCAACAGACCCACGCCTTCTCCAGGAGTCAACGTGAAGATATGGAGAAAGCAGACTCAATGACATCTCCAGCCTCAAATTCAGGGCTCAGACTCTGTAATCTGCTTTAATACGCTAGTTGGACTGCTCCTTTTGTTCCATTTTTGTGACTTCATATCCATAACAAAATAAAAAAGAAGCAGTAAGTGATTTCAGCAGTAAGATTTATCAAAGCTGAAATAAAAGTGTCTATTAAACAAGTTTAAAAAGCAGCTTTTTACAGGTCGTCTGTAAAGTCTGACAATCTCTTAACGATAAAGCACCATTGCAGACATGAGAAAAGGCAGAGAGAGAAAGGACAAAAAAAGAAAGAAACTGAACAGCTGCAACCTTCTCTCGCTTCTGCCAAGATTATAATCCAATCAAATATCACCAAGGGGTAGATGTATATTTGGGACTAAACTAAGCAATTGAGAGACGACACAGCCAGATTTAATAGCCAGAGATAAAATCAAAGAACAGCAAGCATGCAGTTATTTAAAAATGACTCTATGCATCTTACATTTCATATTATTTCCTCACCAAATTAGATTACTTAACATAAGATGTGGAAATAAAAACATCAGATATCTTACATTAAATTAAAACTTTAGTGTACTGTGCTTAAAGCAAGACAAAAATGCACAGCTGTAAAAGACGTAAGCGTTACTCATTTTTAAAAAAGCACAAAAGGCACAATGGCTTACAAACTTTTTCAAATAATATCACAAATCGTTTACTTTATTTTAAATCTCTCCTCAGATTAAGTTTGATACTAATATGCAGATTTAAGTGGAGTCATTTAATATTTTGCCCACAAGAATAATAAAGTGCGTAATATCGGACTGCCCGGGGTCCATGGTAAATTAATTATGAAGGTGTGACTGCTCAATGGACACCCAGCAGCATTCCATATCCTCTTAATTCACAATGGCACTAACACAGTCTACGGCCAGGACACCCAAAGTGGAGCACTTGACAAGGTGCCAAATGAAAACAGGGCACCAAATGTGTAGAATTCACAGTCTCCCGATCAGAAGCCAACACATTTTCCCACAAAAGCAATTAACACCAGTTTAAACTGCTCAAAAACAGCAAACTAACTAAATTTTGATAGATAGATAGATAGATAGATAGATAGATAGATAGATAGATAGATAGATAGATAGATAGATAGATAGATAGATAGATAGATAGATAGATATTGGAACATTTGTCAACGCAGGAAAAACCTAAATTAATAAATAATTAAAGTAAAATGGATGAAAATAAATATAATCACACCAATCTCAATCAAACAGTCTGTCATTATTAAAACCACAAAAAAATTAATTCAGAATAAAACAACCACGAAGGAATAAAAGGTAAAATTAATTCATAATATGATCACTCATAAATATTTAATTTCCATTGAAAAAGCAACCAATCCAGTGAAGCCCAATAAGGATGCGTAGATCAATACACTACATTTATTGGAGATAAAGGTACAATAAGTGTGCAATAAGAGACACGGATGAAGAAAACTGTAAAACACAAACAACTAAAAAACGACATTCTTCTTTTTATATAAAAGAATCTTAACCAGCACTGCCATAACTCAAAACACAAAAAGTATTTAATATATATATATATATATATATATATATATATATATATATATATATATATACACACACACACACACACACACAAACGAGACATAAACACCTCCTAAATGCGTATTTTAAATGTTTAATCCACTAGTTTCCATTAAACGAAGCTTGTGCTCAGTCTTAAAAGTGTAAGAGCGTGTTTACCTATGGGAGTGAGGGAGGAGAGGGTGCACAGCACTAGTAGATGTAGTACCGGAGAGATGAGGCGCTCAGCCCCGGGGTAGTAAGATCCTGCTCTCCCCATACCCATCCATCCATTCAGAGAGACTCAAGAGTACTCCACGGGTCAACAGATCGGGCCTCGCTTCTCGCAACTTCGCGTACCGGAGGGATGCGTAACTCTGTTAAGACGCGGCTACTTTAAGGTAACGCGCACCGTCCATGAGAGAAACAAAGTAGCGATTTTGGCAAGTCCGATCCAAATCACTTCTTCCTGGAAAAAAGAACTTAACTTGCATTCGTCTGCCGCCGAAGAGATCCAGTACAAAATAAATCAGTTAACGTGCTAGAGTTAATCTGCGCCCCGCGATCGCCCGATTTATGTAGCCTACACATCAGATTTCTCCGCCACAAGGAAATCTAGCCCCGTCTTTCCCCAGTGATCGATAGGGAATCAACCTAACCCAGAGTTTAGCGGAAACCCCGCCCACGCCGACGCACAAGCTCCGCCCTTAACCATACACCCCCAGCCGCAGATTGACAGAGCTCTCACTTTCAGCAGGGAGAAAAATAGATGCAGTGTTTTGTTTCCTTTATGGATTTGAGGATAACAATAATAATAAACCAAAAAGAAAGGGTTTGAGGGCTAGATGTTATTATACCAACATCTCAGTACATTGCTAAATCAATTAACATAATTAAAAAAAATTTATAATGCATTCTTTGTTTTTCTTTATAATTTAAACTTATAAATAGATGAATGAAATCAACCACAAAATCTTGATTATTTGCAATTATAAGAATTAGAAGAAAAAAATAATAATTAATACAAAATTAAAAATTTTCATTAGATAAGTGAAATGAACTGAAAACTCGAGGATTGTTTATAAGAGCTAATAAAGCATTTCTCTAAATAAACGCCAATGAGGCCACTTCAGATAACAGACATGTTGGATTTTGTCAGTCGATGTGTTACTCCTGCCAGGTTTGTTGCCATCTGTCAGAGCTTGTTTTCATCAATGAAACATGCTGAATCAGTGCTTGTCTGATTGTGGAATGCACAAGAAACTATACACTGTAATCTGGTGATTGTCTGCATTTGTCTGTGTGATTTTTTGAATTGGTATTCACTTTATAAAGCCCAGTTGTTTATTTAACATGAGCTGTTATAAAGCCTTCTTCCAGTAGGTGAGGAAAAAGTCTCCATGTACTGTGTGAGAAGAAGCAGTTCAATGGGATCTAGCACATCTTTCTTTTCTTTTTTTTTTCTTGCTTGAAATTTAACCCATTACTGCACATACTATGATAAATTTATAAAAAAAAAAAATGTTTATAGACATTCTAAAAAAAAAAAAAAATTCTTAGCTTGAAGTGCTGTAAAAAAAATAAAATTGACTTTTAAAGGTACTTTATAATATGTTGCCACATGGCAACAACGCCCAATAGTGGATCTAAATTAGAAATGTCAAATTTAGCACTTTCCTTATAATTAATACTTTTGTTGTTTGAAAGGATTCAATTGATGTTGTAGTGTTATAAGAACTTATAAATGGCACCTTATACATATACTTTCCAACAACTGATATTTCAACAGCTTTCATTTATTCCATTCTTTTTTTCCTGGATATTATTGAAAACAAACATAATATTGTATTATCATGTATACAACAGGGTGAATATAAATATTTTCTCCATTAAATATTATAACAAATAAAAACAAGTCTACTATATCCAGATGCATCAGAATAATATAGCTACTAGCTAACAATGTTTATATATTATTCTAAATACTACAATACACCTCTCTTATATGCCTCTTAACTAACTTACCTGAAATGTCTGCATCATTGCTCTTATCAAATGTCCATTCTACATTATTTCCATGGTCACTAAAACCCATCACATCTTCACTTTCATCTTCAGGAAAAGCCAGTTATGTCCTTTTCTTCTTTCACTTAGCATAGAACATGGTGGTCCTCGCTAATAAACTGTTCTCTTTATTTATTTCTGATCAAAGGTATTGCTATTATGTTATTTATATTTATTATATTATATTATGTTATATTATGATATATTATGACCACGACGAATTAAGTTCTGCACAAGACTTTTGGCCAGCGGAGAAATTAAAATGGTCGTGCCCAACTGAGTCTGGTTCTCTCAAGGTTTTTTTTCTTCACTCCCATCAGGTGAAGTTTTTTTTCCCTCTCCGCTGTTGCCACTGCCTCGCATGGTTCAGGATTGGTAGAGCTACGCATCGATGAATTTGCTCTTCAGTGTTTGAACTCTCAGTAATGATTAAATCACACTGAACTGAGCTAAACTGAACTGAACTGAACTTAAACACTAAAACCTGAACCACACTGTTCCAGTTACTGAACCACACTGTTCCAGTTACTATGACCATTTATGTGAAGCTGCTTTGACACAATCTACGTTGTAAAAGCGCTATACAAATAAAGCTGAATTGAATTGAATTGAATTGAATTATGATATTATCCATATTTCAAATTCCATTACCATATGACTTATCAGAAATAAATTAATAGCATTCATGTTGTTATTGGTACAACTTAAATGTTCACAGCTGACCTTGATAGCTACAGTAGTGGGTTGGTTTAAAGAGAGATTAAAAACTCTGAGTTTTCACTGAATAAATGTTTTCACAGAATAAAGCATTTCAGTTTTATGCCAATAAAAACTTTATTCTGCAAAAAACAACCTTCTAGATGTGCTTCATCCCTAATTTAAAATCTTATTTCATTCCATAAAAGCTTCTTTATAATGGAAACATTTTCTTTACTTTGTTAAAAGGTTTTTCACATCAAGAAAACCCGATGAAAATCTCTTGAACCACATATGGTTCTTTAAAATACACTGCTAAAATATATAGGCAAAACTGAATTTTAAATGATTTGGATTGGCACAAATACACATGAAACCTAAAAGTAAACTAAAACAATAAACAAAGCAGGTTAAACACTTAAAAGTAAAAGTTTGAAGGCTAACAAAACTGAACTGCACAAGCACAAATTCAAATATAAATATTAACCTTGTTATACAGAGATGGAGGTGAGGAATATTTCTGGTAAATTATTTACTTCTTTATCACTGCAAAACTGTTACTTACTAAGACTTTTTTTAAATCTTGTTTCTAGTCTAAACATCTAAAAATAAATAAAGAAGCGTTCCTAGACAAGCAAGACATATTGTCGCATACTGTGTGGCGTTTGCAGGGTTTCCTCCCCACGTGAATGCAGACATGCGGTACAGGTGAACATGTGGTACAGGTGAATTGGGTAGGGTAAATTGTCTGTAGTGTATGAGTGTGTATGGATGTTACCAAGAGATGGGTTGCAGCTGGAAAGGCATCCGCTGCGTAAAACATGTGCTGGATAAGTTGGGGGTGAGTTGCGACCCCGGATTAATAAAGGGACTAAGCCAAAAAAATAAATAATAAATATGAATAAATGAAAGAAAAAAACAAGATTAATTGGCTCACCCCATTATTTTGCTTGTTTTAAGGAAACACTTATTTAATTTTGAAAGTATTCTTTGCTTGTCTACAAACTGATCCTTAATTTAAGGACTTTTAGATAATTGAACTAGAAACAAAACAACCCATCATCACAGGAAGAAAAGCTTTTATTTCAGTCTATCACACAGGTTAGTGATGAAATATGAGTGTAATCAAATGCTGCATAGTTTATGGGAAAAACTGTACTAAGATTTAGCCTTGAGCCAATTATAGGATGACATCACCAGCTGCTTTATGGCAATAACATACTAAGACCACAAGACTTTACTAGACATTAATACAGACCTTCTTCCTGTGTTGGACAGCTCAAGTCAAAGTGATATTTATAGGGCAGCAGACTCACTCTCACTACAGCTGTCCAGCAGGGGAGCAGCAGTTTTAGAAATCAGATGACAAGTACAAACTGACAACACAATACATTATCAATTCAAGAGAATACTCGTTAACTCAATTTTACATAAATATATTAAACTGGTTTATAGTGCACTATGTGTTTTGCAGGAATCTTTTTAAAAGTATAACCACCGAATTCTTTAATGATTCATAGTTTTGGTCGACTCCAAAGCAGTCCCTTTTGAAGGTGATATTAAACAGCAGTTTAACAGGACAGCAATGTGTGAAGTGTGTAGTATCATAGGTGGTCAAATTTGCCCATATTGGAATGTGGATATATTTATGTAGTTGCTCTGGACTAAATAACTCATTGACTAGCATGAAGCTGCACGTTTCCAATGACCTTATCAAATAAATATTAGCTGCACTATTACTACTCTTATCTTAACAGAAAATGTCAAATGAATTAATGATTGTTTTTGAAATTTGCTGACATTGAGGACGTTTTGGGGAATAAAATGAACAACACATTTCTGGTGTGGTGAAGCCAGAGACAATGGTAATTTTGTCCACATTAGCAGTACAGGATGTTAACAAGCACAATTTAAAAAAGCAAATTTGTTAAAATTCTCAAAATATGAAGTGGTATACTTATTTTGGATATAAAGTTTAAGCATAGCAGCACAGTGGCTCGCCGTTTGCCACACAGCAAGAAGGTTCCTGTTTTGAGTCCTGGCTGGGCCAGTTGGCATTTCTGTTTGCATGCTCTCCCAGTGTTGGCATGGGATTCTTTCAGGTCTTCTGGTTTCCCCTAGTCCAAAGATATGCAATTTAGGTAAATTGGGTAAACAAAATTGGCCTTAGCATATGAGTGCATGTGTAAATGACTGTGTATGGATGTTTTCCAGTACTGGGTTGCAGCTGGAGGAGCATCCATTGCGTAAAACATATCCTGGAATAGCTGGCGGTTCATTCATATCTGTGGTGACCCCTGATAAACAAGCTACTAAGCTGATGGAAAATGAATCAATGAATAAAGTTAAAGCATGACGTGATGGTAGTGACACATCCTTCAAAAACATTAGTGAAGCAGTTATGGTGTAGAATACATTTTGTATAAATATGTAATGTTTTATCTCTTTCACTGCTATTGACAAGATATCCCCACCAATCCTGAGTTTTTCTCAGAATCTGTGCTCTAAGTGTATTATGATAAGGGAAGCCCTAGTGGAGGGCCGGTGTCCTGCATATTTTAGTTGAAAACCCCAAATAAACACCTGAAGCAGCTAATAAAGCTCTTTCTAGATACACAGCAAAATCATCTAGGCAAAATTTACCTAGTTTAAATAGTATTTGTTCCCTCTCTAAATTGAGTTAAAGTTACTCAATTAATGAGACAATGAACAAATAACTTAGGTGATGATTGAGCACTGATGATGAAGACCTGCTGTTAAAAAACTGAAACACAGAAGAGAACCACAAAACTACACCTGACTTCAGTCATATTAAATCAGCTGAATTTAATACATTGAATCTCTCAAAACCTCAGC